GGGACACTGTGGGGAAGAGTGGTAAAAAGGAAGATAAGTACTCTGATCACCTCAGAACTTTACAGAGCTAAGAATCTCACTTAAGAATCAATTTTCCGGAGCTGGGAAGGTGGCTCAGTGGTAGAGTGGTTGCCTTGCATGCATGAGGCCCTGGGTTCAATTCCTCAGCACCACATGAGCAGAAAAAATCAGAAGTGGCACTGTGGCTCAAGTGGTAGAGCACTAGCTTTGAGCTGAAGAGCTGAGGGACAGCGCCCAGGCCGAGTTCAGGCCCCACATCCGACCAAAAAAAAAAAAAAAAATTAAAAAACAAGAATCAATTTTCCTTTCCTCTCCTTATCTTTTTATTAATGTTTTCTTTTTTTCTTTCCTCTTTTCTTTCTTTTTTGGTGGTACTGAGGATTGGACTCAGGGCCTCATGCTTGCACATTGTTGCAATCTGTCTCTGAAAACAATCACCTCAGTAATACACATTTCATAGAAAGACCTTTTTGTCTGGTGCACAAAATATACTTAAATTTTTTTAATTAATTTATTTATTTTGGTGCCAGTTCTGGGGCTTGACTCGGGGCCTGGGTGCTGTCCCTAGCTCTTTTTTTTTTTTTTTCCTGCTCAAGACTAACATTCTTCCACTTGAGCCAGAACTCCACTTCTTGCTTTTAGCAATTAATTGAAAATAAAAGTCTCATGGACTTTCCTGCCTGGGCTGACTCTGAATGGTGATCCTAAGATCTCAGCCTGATAAGCAGCTAGGATTATTACAGGTGTAAAACACCATTGCCCAGCTTATTTCAGTATTTGTGTACAAGCAACATCTTCTCTCCTGGACAAGTTTAAATAGTTGTCTATCTAAATTACCTAGATCTTTCCAAGATTCAAGTGTGGCTGCTACTCTCACTGCCATCCTTCCATCAGGCTGACCTGAGCAAGCAGAATCTTCACTTTTGATGGAAGGCTGCAGCACAGAAAACACAGTACAACAGCACCTAAGCACCCCACTGTCTCCTACACAGCTACAAATATTCCACTGACAAAAAGACTTTATGAAAACCTCAGGACAAAAGGAATGGTTACCACCATTGTGACTAATACCTTTGGGAAAACTTGAAGCCACTTAAAAACCGTCTGAGGATTAACCTCCCAATAACAAGATGACCTTTGGGAGTCTTCTGCAAATCATGCGAGTAGAAGAGAATACTGTCCAGTACTACAGTGCCTGGGTTCATATGCTGACTCCCCCTTCCTAGACATATAACATAAGCCATGCCTCAGTTTCCTCCCTTCTCCCTGGAGATTATCAAGCACTCCTCACAGGGCTGTTGTGAAAATGAATCAATATATGCAAAGCACTCAGAACTATGCTGGGCACACAGGAAAGTGTCAATATACATTTACTGCTACTTCCTTTTTGTTTTGTTTTTTTGTTTTGTGGGGTATTGGGGGTGTTCGTAGCATTTAAACTCAGGATCTAGGGGCTGTCCTTGAGCTTTTTTGCTAAAGGCTAGCACTTTTACTTGAGCCACAGCTCCATTTCCAGCTTTTTGTTGTCTAATTTCCTGCCCGGGCTGGCTTTGAACCAGAATCCTCAGATCTGTCTACTAAGTAGCTAGGATTATAGGTGTGAGCCACAGGAGCTAGGTTTCACTGCTGTTTTTGTTATTATTAGAATAATTTAAACTCCTCCCTCCCAGTTCCTACTGAACACTATGCTGGCTACTATGAGCCTGAGAAGGGGTGAGGAGGACACAGGGAAATACTACTTTGTACTCTAGCGAAGTACAGGTAAGACATTGTTGGCGGTACAGAGGAGGAAGCCACTGTCAGGTGACTAAAGGAAATGTATGGAGAAAGTATATCTGAACTGGACCTTAAAGATGACAAGTAGTAGAAATTTCCAGGAGAAAGAAATTCACATGGCAGCAGATATAGCATCTGGTTTCTAATTTATAAGCCCTGAATCCAAATTGCCCCATTTCTGGGAAGGACAGGCAGCCACCTGCAAGGGCTGTGATGAAGAGGGCAGTAAGGATCATTTCCCCTTCTGGCACTGTATTTATATGCACAGGTAGATTCATGAAGGCAGAATCCTCAAGGCAGCTAGGTCATAAAGACTCTAACCAGAATCTCTTCATCCTTCTTCAAGTCTGGCCTGAAGACCCCTGTCTAGCTTTGACTCCTTTTTCTGTGCTTCCAAATCCTTCTGTCCTTGTTTCCAGCTTCTTGAGGGCAGGAACTGCCCTTTTGTCAATTCACCCCTGGGACCTCCTAATCTGCCAGGAACACAGTAAACAAATGTTCAATAAACACTTGATGAATGAACAATGTGCTCTGCCTACTATATACCTCAAAAAGAACCTAAATGCTTAACAGTCTCCAAATGTTCCTAAAAGTGTCACCCTGGTCATAAAGTTTCTTGTCTGGTGAGGGAAAAGATCTCATTTTACTGACTGATTACAGCCTACAAGGGTGAGACACTGAATTTAAAGTCAATAGAAAATGAGTGACAATAGATCTGAAATTTCATGATAGAGTACTAAGCTGGAAAAAGTTGAGAACAAGGTTTTCTTACACTAAAGGTTAGGAAAACTAGTTTTTTTTCAATTTTATTTTTCTCTCCTTGGTACTGGAGTTTGAACTCAGGACTTCCATAACTTAAACCTTGTCCCTAGACCCTTACATTCTGGTTGATTTTTATAGGGTTTCACTTTTTGCCCAGGCCAGCAAAGATTTCAATCATCTATTTATGCTTCCTGCTGTATCTGGTATGACAAGTGTACACCACCACAGCCACTATCTTTGTCAGCTGAGATAGAGCTCCTGAACTTTTCTGCTGGGCTGGCCTCGAATACAATCCTCTTGATCTCAGCTGAGATGACAGGCACACGCCATAGAGTGTGGTAAGGTAAGGTCTTGGCAACCTTTTGCCTGGTCTGGCCTCAAACCATGCTTCTTTCAATCCCCATTTCCCAAAGAGCTAAGATTAACAGGCATGAGCCACCAGTATCTGGCTTAGTTAATTCTTAACTTAGTAACACTTGCTATATTTGACAAGCAAATAAAATACATTTTAAAATAATTCCTTTTATTACATGTAGCTCTTCTTAAATAGTAAAACCCCAAATTGGATAAACTGGATTGAAAGGTGGCCCCACCATGCAGCAGAGTATGACAGCAGACAAGTTGTTTAATCTCTTCTCAAAACTCACTATCAACACAAGGATAATAACAGCTACACTACAGTTATGGTGTAGATTACATGCTCTGTCGATGAGATGCCTGCTGCCTGGCACACAGCAAGTATCCATGCAATAGCAGACACTATTATTATTGTTATCTGTTATTCGTGAGGGAGGCCAGAAGTCTTAATCCCCTCACCTTCCCCCAGTGCCTGGCGTGAGCCACTCAAAATTTTTTAACCTATGATTTTAAAAAAGAAAGAAAGAAAATCAGACAAGTAGACAATGGTTTTCACTAGTCTAAAAAAATTAATACAACAATGTTAATGTGAGTACTACATGGTTTTCAATACGGTATTCAATTGTTTGAAAGTTCAGGCTCATCTTTGTCTAAAAACAGCCTACCAAGCCTTTCCTAAACAAAACAGAGGAAGCTTGTTCTTATTTTAACATCTGTTTCATTATTATCACTACAATTGGAAAAATAATACACATTCACTTTACAAAAAAAATCTGACAAAAATTGCTAATTAGAAGTCTGAGATCATCTGTATTTTGGGCACATCTTTTCATACTTTTTTCTATGTTAATATAGTCAAGTTAACAAAAATTGATATTCATTTTAGAACTTATTTTAGAAACTGCTTTTTATTTGCTTTCTTACAAAAATATTTCTGTACCACAAAGTGACAATAATGCCATAATTTTAATTATCATTTAATACTAATTGTGTGAATACTATACCCTAATTTAATCTTCTGCTACTGGAAATGTCTGTTATTTTCAGAGTTTCAGTAACAGAAATAATCAAAATCCCTTTTTTTTGCATATACTTTTTTTTTTTTTTTTTTTTGATCAGCGGTGGGGCCTGAACTCTGGGCCTGGGCACTATCCCTCAGCTCTTCAGCTCAAGGCTAGCGCTTTATCACTTGAGCCACAGCGCCACTTCTGGCTTTTTCTGCTTATGTGGTGCTGAGGAATGGAACCCAGGGCCTCATGCATGCAAGGCAAGCATTCTACCACTGAGACACCTTCCCAGACCCATGCATATACTCTTAAAATATACTTCTAGATGTCTATTTTCTATGCCTCAGGGCATATATATTATTAGGCTTTTGATGTATCACCAAATTACCCAAAACTTCACCAAAGTGAACTGATGTTCATTTTAAACTTTATAGTGTAAAAAACAAGAAATTCTGCTGTTTTATTTTTCACCTTGAAATTTTTAAATAGTTAAAGAAGCAAATATGCATATTCCTTTACAAATAATCATCTGGGTAAGTAGGCAGGAAATATCAGTTCTTAAATTCAAAAATAAACCTTAACTCAATTAGAGCTCTGATTTTAAAAATTAAATATTCAGGAAGCATTCAGCCTTCCCAAAAGAGGTAAAAAGGGAAGCAGAGAGATCAGAAAGCAATGAGGTGTTCTTATAAGGATAGAATTCAAAAGAAAAACAGACTAATCACCCCATAACTTCCTAAGGCAGGTATCTAATATATGAACTACCAGGATGGTCAAAGGCAACCTTCATTAGCCCATTTACATTAATTATTTTCCTAGTAGGAAAAGTCCTTGAAAAAAATCTGAAACAGAAAGTTCCACATTAGCACAATTTTACCCCAAAATGGCAAAATTAATTTTTGCAACACAATTGTCCCTTTGCAATCACTGCTAATGTAAGAGGCTAGATAAAGAATTATTAGCACCATTAATGCAATATCGAAGTCACACCTATACATCCTTTTCCATAGAAAATGGTTCTTAATTTTCAAGTTGTTCTGCTTTATTAAAGCTCATTACCATTTCTCTTTTAATAAG